GATATTACGGATAAAGTGATCTTGAGTCTTATTTTCTCTGAAACACTCATGAGTCAGAAAATGTGTTTCTCATTGTTGCAAAACTATCCTCCATAACCGTGAAGGATAATATCCAAGGTCCCTTGTTAGCATGCAAAACAATGCATCATATTTTTCACCATGTCTCATTTCCAATTGCAAATGGGGAAGGAATGAAAAATATGCGGGAGATTACTGCGTTAAACAATTTGGTTCTGCTTAATAGTGACTCCTTTGATTTGGTCCCGGGCCCCTGAGATGAGCATGGATCAGGAATGATTGAGATGCATGGAGGAGCTTGTTCTTGGCTGCCTGCTTTGCTAAGCAGACCCACTTCACCATAATAAGAGGTCATCCCTGGAGGAGTGTGGAAATGTGTCTAATTAAAACAAAATGCTTTATCAAGAGCTGAGGCAAAGTGAGCAGCCCCAGTAAAATAAATAGCCAGCAATTTCCTGAGATTCATATTCTGATAAGCATCTTATTAAAACAGCCAACTATCTAATGGAGGTGCTTTGCATTGTAGGAGGACTTTTGCTAATTTTCTCCCTGTATTGCTCTTTTTCTCTTTCATCCTCCTGCCAGCCTATGTGTACGCGTGTGCGTGTGTGTAGTTGCGAGCATCAATGCTGGAGGTTGTGTGCATGCATGACTGATAAACAGCGCAACAAATTGGGAGTCTACCTATTTTTTTAGGCATTTTGGATTTTGCTCACCTTGCAGTTAAGCGGGAGTGTAAATTACTGAGCGCTGTGGGCACAAAGTACTTAATTGTTTTTTTATATCATCATTATTCATCTTCTCTGACAGCTCAGTTGTGGCACTGATGTGTTGAAAGATGGACCATCTGTACTTTTGCCACTTTCTCTCTCTCTCTTACTCTCTCTCTCTCTGTTGCTATTTTTGAGGTGCCATGTTTCCATACTGATGGCATCTGAGTCCATGATTTGTTGCCACAAGTCTAATGTGTGAGATTACAGCACGAGGCTGCAGCACATGGAATGCCTCCAAGCAAGGACGAAATAATAATAATAATAATAATAAAAAATTAATACAATGCCTCACTCAGCAAACACATCAGAGCAGCTTGCAATTACCATGTCTCCTGTGATTGCATCTCTGTGGAAATTAATTGCTATTTTAATTTAGTTTTTCCATTGACAAATCCTGACATGCTTAAGAGATGCCTCCAATGAGATATGTGCATTTGGGCCACAGATCAGGCATATTATGTTCAATTGAACTTCAGGGTGGCTTGTTTTTCCTGAAGAGGGAACAGAAAACAAAATTATAGCTATGAAACCTCTTCAAAATACCCTCATTGAGATCATCATTCTGATGTGACTGTTGCTGTCGTCCAAATAGTTGCAATTTGTAGACTAAAACCTGAACTCGGCATGATGGTGTAATTTTACTTTGCTTCCTCTCCTTGCAACTTCCTGTGTGAAATATTTCTCCTCATTGTAGAGCAGGAAAACTGGACGATCATCACCACATGGTAGTGGGCTGCTGAGGCTCCGTCAGTGGGCCATTACTGATGTAATGGGCCACCTGTACGAATGTGGTTTCTGTGTGTAAGAGTGTGTATGTGTGCAATTGCTGATTGGATGGCAGTAGTCCCTAGAGCCTCTTGAGTATGTATCCGGTACCCACTCTAACAGGTGGATGGTGGGAAGTAAGCAGCGGGGGTGGACTTCCATAATGGACTTGGTTCAAATGCCACACACATCCAAGTCCCAAGACACACGCTGCTCATTTTGGACTCTCTGCTTACAGCTCTGCAATGAGAAGTAAAAATAAATCTACTCTGCTTATTACTTGCAGCTTTTATTTGGGTATTTATGTGCATGTGTGTTAATTTTACATTTAAACTAATCTGATAATTAGGTTAGCATGCATTTTTTTCCATAATAACTGACATGGTTTTACCTCGGAACAGAAATAATTGGCATCGCATGCATAAGATTGACAGTTTAGCTTTTCATCTAATTGTTTCTTGGTATTTGTTTTTCTCTCCAGTCACGCTGATTGCTTACATGGGTCAGAGAAGAGAGGGAATGGAGTTTCAGTGGAGTCGACAGGTTGCCACATTCCCTCGTGATATCTTCAAATATGGCTGGAGGGAGAGAGAATTACAGGCATCACAAGAGGCCCCTTTGAAACCTTCCAACTTAGTATGAAATCACTGCGTGTGAGCACTTTGATCAGCAAACGGTCAAGCGGCAGCCCTGCAGCCAGCCATCTTTCCACATTACCGCTGGGAGCCTCATTCCCAGCTCTGTGCACACCCCTCCACCTGACCACTGTTTGAATTGCTCACTGAACTGATCTTCCAACAAATAAGCTTCGTGCTTTGCCACGAATTACCCCTCTCTATCTCCCGTCACACATGCCTTGCAGCATCACTTCCCCTCTTTGCATGCACCCAGCCGTCCTGCACATCCAGAGATAAACAGTAGGTACTGCACATCATACAATCATAATTCCAGCAATTAACCTCCTCACCCACTGTGGACTTTGAATCCCGCGAGCTCCTTGCCTCACCTCTTTACTTGGAAACAGTCTCTGTCTACCAGGCCAGAGTCCATATGTAAACATAAATATAAAGTGGCCGGCGGCTTGCCTATCTGACAACACCCTCATGACCAATGATGTCTACTTTGATTTCAGATCCGTGGTGGAAAGGTGCCAGGACTTAAAGTGGCTGAGTTATACCACTGAGAACCTGGGCCATCTTACCACAGCCCTTTGCTATGTAAGAGACAGGGTTTAATGAAGGTCTGTGACAAGGGATGCATCTCTGAGCACATCAATAAGCAAACACTGTGTCTTTGCTCCTTCAAGCACCATAATTTAATGCAGAGCTGAGCTTGATACACAGACACACAAGTATGGATATTTTCCTGCTTGATTGTCTGTCATGACATTTGTGCACATTGATTGAAAACAAAATTATATTTAAGAAATGACTATAATGATCTAAATGTTATATAAGATGATCCAAAGGTTAATTACAGCTACAGACGTTGCTATTGTCATTTTTTTAAATACTCTTTAATAATTAAAGCTACAGATTTTTCCTATTTCAGACAATGTACTTGTCTTTTCTTTTTCACTGTTAGACTCTTCAACCAGCCTCAGTCAGTCGATATGTGTCCTAAAACGAAACATGACTGATAGAATTGTACTGTATGTAATAACCAAGCTTCACCTTGCAAAATGGCTTAATCTATCATTTTTCTCTGCACAAAACAGGCAAAACCTCTTCCAGTCAGTTCTGTGCAACCTTTCCTTTCAATATGAATTGAATTACGTTCCAATCAAACAAATCACAGCTTGTTCCAAACATGGCTGCTCCAAACAGGGCCGTGAGTAATGAATTGAAAAAGTCTGTATTTGATTACCCCTGCTGCCGCCCAGGGTTGACTAAGATCCATTTGAGAGGTAGTGCGGTGGAATTCCAATATGGACACCCTCCAGCTATTGACCCTGTCTTTAAGTGGGCGCTGTGCTTTTAGTGTACTTACACTGGTTGTTCCACATCTTCTTCCTCCTGGCAGTTTTGCAATACTTTTGATGGCAGACACTGGCTCCCTTTTCCCCACTCTGCATTATTGATGCATCAGAGAATGTGGATAGCCTACTTTTTGTTATAAGCCACTAAGGGCACAGATGCAAGGAGATAAGAGGTTGAAGTTGGTGTGTTGTGTAACTATCTCAATATCTTTCCGTGATTGAAATAGAGAAATATATAAATATTTCATTCTGTTTAACAAATGGATCCAGTTGATGGTCTCAGTCATGCTAAAAAGCTACAAGTCAACACTTGGCATGTATGAGATCACAAGATTTATCATTTATGAAAGAAAATGAAAGGAATTATCCTTGTTGGGTGCCTTCCCATTGAAATGAATACAATTAATTTAATGGTGTCTACAGCCCAAGTAACATGAATGGCAATAGTTTTAAAGTTAAAGACAAAAAACAATACAAAGAAGAGAAGATGCATGATGAAATTCTATGTACCACCGTATGCATGTAATTACCTTACATGTACGGTTGATTGTCCCTGATTGAACTCTTACCCCGAGCTGTAGGACACTATGTCACTGATGCCATGGAAAATGAAAAGAAAAAGGATTTGGAAACTTTCTTATCTCCAAAGTTGGAGCAATCCTAAAATGCTCAGTTCCACTTGTGAGTGCAATAAATCCAATGCAGAGAGACTAAGGGAGAGGAAAGGAAATCAAAATGTATATTTTTTAAATTAGAGAAATAAGAAAAAGACAAATGCAGAAATTAAGAAATCAGTATGGGAGGGAGGGAGAGGTAGATAGATAGATAGATAGATAGATAAATAGAGAGAGAGAGAGAGAGAGAGACAGAGACAGGTTGACAGTTCGGTCTATAGATGGCAGTATTCTAACAGAAACAGTTGGATGGGAGACTGTCACTGGCTGTTCAGTGTGTGCTGCGCAGACAAAACTCTGTGATGGGTAAGACAATTTTATTTTCATAAATAATGATACAATATCCAATTGTTAGATAATCAATATTTAATAAATTCAGTCGGTTATGAGGGTTTCCAAGCAAGGGATTGATAGGAAATTTAAAATCTGTATAAATAGAGAGTTATCCAAAATTAGTATTAGTATGTTTGAAACTTCTTTTCTCCTCTGTAAGGTGTTCTTTTTTTTGGCGCTTGGTGGTGCTTATGGTGCTTTGCAAATTGCCATCTGGTGGTACAAAGTGCTTGTCTCTAAAAAAAAATATATATATAGCCTATATATATTTTCTTAATATAGTCTAAATGCTGTTCTAAGACCGAATTTCTGAAGTCTACACAAAATGTCTCCTTATTTTATTCATTATTAATGTTTTTCTTTGGGCGGAAACAGTTAAACTCCATAATGAGAAGGAGTGTGAGGGGGGCTGGGTTTAAACGCGCAGTGTGCCAGTGGCAGCGTACACACACTACTGTACATTGATGGAGCCGCTAATCTGTGTCAGTCCGGCAGAGCCCTGTGAGAAAGCCACGCTGCGGGTCTGAACTGACGCTGCGAAATTACACCGTCGGCCGATGGCAAGCCTGGCCACTGCTTGTACATAACCTGCATGTACTGTAGCCTGGAGGACGCTGAATCCCGAACTGAAGGAATGTGCCATTTCATTGACACGGTCTAGTAAAGTAACATTAGGAGGTCAGCTCAGATGGTGAAGGCTCCGCTGCGAAGTTTACGCACTGAATTTGCAATTCCTCGCGGTAATGAAGGTTTTTACTTGAATGAATGACGCCGCCGACGCTTAACAGGTTTCCTAGGCAGATGTATTTAAGGAACTGGAAGAACTAGTGAATGTAAAATTACTGAAGCTTCTCCGAAAACGCCAGCTTTGACTAGATAGAGCGTTTGGAAACATCTTTTTCTTTTACTGTGGATGTCAGTCTAGCGCATCAGTTAAAACCCCCTGAAGACAGCAGCCGCGCTGGAGGGAACAGGATAACCGGGAGATCCAGTTTAAATGAAGAGGTGAGTAGCGATCAACACGGTCGTTTGGGTTTAATCTGCTACACGGTGTGTAAATATTTGTTTAAATGCCATTTGAGCCACAAACACAAACTGCCACACTGTTCTGTAAAGGGCTAATTTTCGACACTGCGGAGAGACAGCTGGAGACATTTTTTATTTTTTGGCTGCAGGCTCTGATAAGGAAGCTGCCTGCTTCAATATTTCATTGTAGCTTTGCCACAGCTCAGAATTAGACGCCAAAATGAATGATAATGTGTGGTGATAAAATACATGGTTAACAGCTGCACTGTTAGTGCATATGGAATCATTTCACTGGAGTCCTGCGCCTGCAGCGGGCTTTACACTCAGGTGTTGCTCTGGATGCTTTACATTACAACCATTTAAGCTCTATTCTCATTCATTAGGATTTAGCTGCCTCCTAATACAGCAGCATTATTGAGTTACAACCTGTTATACAGACATGATACTTCCAGTTCGCATTATTCTTGCTGATGAGCTGCTTCTGGTTTGTGTTAGTAGATCTTGTTCTAGAGTATTTAATGAAGTTACTTGACCGGCAGAGTTATTTTTAGAGTCCTTGTGTCCTAGTGCTTGCAGTCATCACAGTGCGAGAATTATTTTGAATTGTTGGCCTTGATTGTGAATGCAAAATTACACATTTAAAATTATAGAATACTTTTTTAAAAACCTTTTTTAAATACAGAACTGGACCTGTGTTACTGCAACAAGTGAACCTTGAGTCTGTTACATTTCTCACTCATTTAAATATAGGCTATGCTCTGTAAATTAGTTTCACAAGGTCCACGATCTGTTCATGTCATCTAAATTCTATACATTTCTTGACTGATTTATTCTCTTCTTCTCAAGTGGTAAAACCAAAAAACCTAATTGCAACAAAAAACAGCAACCTGATATATTGTTGCCAACTGGCGTCAATTTAGGATTCCAGATTGAATCTAGACCTCATCTGTCCCATTGAGCAGATGCACCTACAAATCTTCATACTCTGTCAGACTGCCAGCGCTCCAGCAAGCACCCATGACAATGACTCTAAAGAAAATAAATGTTGTCTTAAGTAGAAAATTGCTTTACATTTGCATGAAAATAACTTACATCTGCCACGGCTGACGGGTAGCATATTAATTCCTCTGCCCGTGCAATCAAAACCCGTTCCTTCTTGGTGAAATCACGCTTTTTTTTGTGCATCTGAAGCGTGACCCACTCACATCATTATTTTAATATCCATCTCAAAGTGAAGCAGCAGTTTGACCCCAAAGCAGCCACCAGGGTGGAAATTGCTGCCTTTGGAAGAACAAACCAGCACTCAGCATTGGTTTGATTATCACAGGCTGATTATATTCACCTAATTAACTCCAATTTAATGAAGAAAAAAAAAAACACATTCGCCTATAGTGTGGTTCTGCCACTGAGCAATAAGCCCCACTGACCAGCAGCTGTTAAATGACTATTTTATACACGTCTACACTTCTTCGGCTTTGGCTCAAATTTGTTTTCATAATTTATGAACTTATATGACAAATGTTCATTGCTGTAAACTCATTCCCTTGAAGACAAGATCATACCAGTGAATTGCTGTTAAAAATATTTCCAAAGCTTTTGTTGATACTCTGAATTTATTCTGAAAGCAGTGAATGGAGTCAGTGTGTTCCCTTTTTAAATAATAGAGGATATGAGCAAAGATTTTAAGAATTCTGTTCAATGAATCACTTTCAAGTGATGCCTTTGAAGGCACGCTGTCCAAGAAAGCCTTTCGAGAACCACAACATCACACATTCATCCAATCAATAAGGTTAACCTCACCAAGCTGGAGAGAAATTGCTTCGACTGGTCAAACTTAGATCAAGCTTTGTGGAGTAACGGTTGATGCTTCTCTGCCACTGCCTCCCCACTTCACCTCTCTGTAGGGGGCTGCAATATTTTGATTGGATTTACGGTGAAGCCGTGTGGTCAGCAAGGTATTGTGCACTTAGTATTTGTGATGTTGGAGTGATTTGCATAGGTCTGTTCTACCACATTAATCCACTTGACTTTTGGAATAGCTATATTTGTTTAAGTGACCTTGCTCTGACTATGAAATACCATGTTCTTAAGAGGAATTGGCCCTCTAAAGTACCCTGTACCCTCTAATGTCTACCACCGTCACCATCAGCATCTCTCAGCATCTGCAACAAACTCTGCTGATTGGCGCACATGGCTCAAGAGCGTCCTCTGTTGATGAAGAGCAAAGAGCCTAAACAACGAGCTGAGTTAATTATCGGGCCACAATGCGAGCACACAGCCTCTTTCCGTTCAGTGCCTTCCACTTAAACCACTCAACAACTATGATGGCATTACTAACTAATTTTTTAACTGGACGATTTGCTACTGAATGAGTTGTTACTGCCTTTCTGTGTGCTGTGTCACCACCAGCATTCACACACAGCACACTGCTTGTTCCTCTTTGGATTCCCCCTTAAGGCAGCCAGACTCACCACAGTTTAGCTTGAGAGATTTTGACAAGTTGCTACGCATGCAGGCAGAATCCTTGACCTATTTCTTAATGAGTGAATACTGCAAATGCTTTCAGCGGCTGTGTATTCTGTGTATCCCCCCCCCTTCCCCTTACAGCAACCCCCACCATCCCAACTGTCTTTTGCTTGCATGCACACACACACACACACATGCAAACATGCGAACACATGCAGATAATGGTGCTTTTGTGAGTTCACCGACTCATTCTCCCACAGATATAGATCCTCCCTTTCCTATCTGCTTTAGTGTACAAATAGTGAGCGAGTGTTTGTTTTAATGAAATAGTCCTCCCGTCTTCCCTTACTGTGGGCTGTTTATCTGAACGTCTCAACTGTCCAGCTGTCACAACACAGATCTCGATCTCCTTGACCTGCACACGCTCCACTCACTCTGCCTCGTTATGTGCATGTTTGTGTCTGGAATCTGCGTTTCATGGCGAGTGTGCACGTGTGGGGATTGACATAAGGGAGATCTGGATCTGTGGTGACATTGATCAAGTGGAGTGCAGCCAGGGAGAACATTCAGTCTGAGAGGGGTTTGGCTTCAGTGGAAAGCAGAAGATCACAACTGCCTCTTTCTCTTTATCCACGCAGCAGGCGGATTCATTTACAGTGTCTGTGCTTGCCGTCTCTTCTCTGGATAATTGTAAACAACATGAGTTTTTCTACCTGTCTCTGATGCTTCAAGCACCAGATTCAGCAGTAGAGATAGTCTCACCAGACAAAGATTATCCTAACAAACATTTGCTTACTGTAAGATGCTGTTGGTTGTAGAGGAAGTTATTTGCTGATATTGTTCAGCAGTGAAAGAACTGAGAAGTCTGTCTCTCTGCATCTGGTATGAGATGACATAAAACTTTGTTGCAATGATTCCGATACTGATACTCCGACATTGGGCGGTTATCAGGCTAAAATTGGGAACTGACTTTGGTGAGCTTCCACATTGTTACAACATGATATTAACAGAGCTTATGCTGGAAAGCAAAGCAAATCATTTTCAGTCTCTAAATTATAGACGATTTTTCATTTATTATATTAGCTTAAAATGTAATTTTGATGCATCCCAACACTGTCCCTCTGCCTTGTGCGAAAGATTAAAATCAAGTGTTGCATATCCTCTTGTAAATATATTATAAACATACAGATACCATAGATACAGCATTACTCTTTGATCATTTCTGCACAATAGCAGATGTTAGAAAACACCACAAGACAACATTTAATGGTCTAGTCATGCTGCTGTAGCCATTTTCATCATCTTGAGTAGTTGTGCGTGTAGCATTCAGTGACTTATTGAATCGTTGAAACCATTTTAAATTGATGACTACAGGCCACTACATTGTTAAGTAGCAGCTTGCACAGCATGAGCAACACATAGCACAGAGTGCAAAAATCAATGCCACTCCTTTGCATTTAATTTTTCACAATACACAGGGAGGCTATTTTTTTTTAATGCTGTGAGTACTTGAAAGAAGGCCACATTTTCTGCTGCTGTGTTTATTACTATGCTGGATTTTTTTTCTCTGATAGGCTTGTTGAGAGAGTTTGTTTCCCCATCTCTGTCAGGAGGTTGGCTGTTTTTTGCAAGTAAAGGCTGTATGTGTGTGTGTGTCCGCAGCTCCCAGACAGGCTCCAGCCAGTCTCATCAGAGGACCGTCGGGGAACGGTTAACAGTTGTCCCTCTGCCAGGCTCAACCGTGGCTAGTCCAGATCCTGCTCTCTCTATTGATGGCAGCAAGTTAGCAATGAACCCCTGTGTGCACTCTGCTGTCCCAAAGGCTTGCCAGCTTGCTGAAACAAAGCCTTTTGTAGGACCACTGAATCCAACAGATGGAGAAATGGACAGTAAATGAAAGTAGAGGGAAAGGGGAATAAAGGAATTTAGTGGAGCATGTTTGTGGGTAGGCATTTAGGCTACTCCTTTGGGAAGCCTAACACCCTCACAATGCAATACTGGCAGAACTTAAATGTTCTCTCGTTGACATGCCGCGAGAGCGGCTTTGGGCCCCAATGTGAGCGGAGAAGGCAGTCTGCGCACGAGGGCTCTCCAGGGCCTGGGAAGCCTTTATTAAGATGTTAATGGAACTGCCTTCATGACACATTTCCATGGGACAGGATCCCTCGCCTCTACCATTCTTTAGTGCCTCAATCTGCTTGCCACAATCATCAGTCTCTCCCCCTCACACAACAGCCTGTTTAGGCATTCAGCCCCATCTCCACATTCCCCTGCCCAGGCGCTCTCACTCTTTATCTGATCTCTGCTGTCACAAGCCATCCTATATTTTACCACGTGTAACAAAATTACGCGATGCCAGCGATAAGGGCAGCAATCCTGGCACAGGGACCCGTAGAATAACAAGTCTGGCTGTTTGTTTGTCACTGATCTTCACACCGGTTGGAAGTCAGACTGTCACCTCAGTGAGCCTTGAGGGCTGTTATGTTTTTTTTTTTCTCCAAACACTGTCGGGC